TTTGGTCTGGGGGTGAGGAAAACCCTTTTGTCAAAGGCCTCTCCACAGTGGATCGAATGGATTTTAAACAGACCTGCTTGTGTAAATAGACTCACATTACTGCATTTGCTATGCATTCAAAACACAATGATCCTTTCTCACAGTAAGGTGCATAAAAGGCATAAAGAGCAGGAAGACAGGATTTTATATTTTTGCATTCTGAAAAGGCTAATTAGGCCCCTGGTGGTATTTAGTGCATCTGGTGTAGCAAGGCTTGCCTTTACAGTATTTATCTGAATCCAGATATTTCCAAAGCCTGGTTCTGGGTTCGCGTCCATAGCTGTTTCATCCTTTAGAAAGTCGCGGTGAGCTGGAGCCTAACCCAGCCAACACAGGGGGAAAGACAGAACTGTCAGGACAGGATGCAATGCATAACTGAGTGCACACACACACACACACACACACACACACACACACACACACACACAAGGGCAATATAGAGACACCAATTAACCAAGCCAGCATGTTTCTAGAAAGTGGGAGGACAAAGAGAGCCCCAGGAAAAAACGTTTTCAAACTCTGAGTGAACATTTTAACTTAGGAAGAAAATGAAAACTCCATTAAAGGGCACTCCAGCCTGGATCCAAACCCAGGATCCAAGTGATGTGGAGCAGCATCAGCACAATAATCCATGCCCTTAACACTGCAAATGAAATAAAAGCTAGCCAGCTATCTTCTGATATCATACTCTACAACAGAGATTATACTAACAATTCATCACTAGGAAATTCCATGAGCTTGAGATACAGTTTTCGGCAATTTCATGTTTAGAAAAGTGATTGGCAGAATATAGAATTTTGCAGTGACATTAAAAATCACAGTAGTACAAAAGCACTTGAAACAGCACAGCAAAAGTCTGTTTTTACAAGTGCCAAGGCATGAAAAGTTTGTCATTTCGGTGCTAAGTTAAGAATGAGAGAGTACTGTAGGTAGGTGATATTTTTCTCCCCCCCAAAAAATGCAGAAGGAAGAGCCAAACACAATCACGCATTACAAACTACAGTTTTTTTTTCACCTGTTTATAGGCATTCTCATTAAAGTATGTGTAAGGTTTCAAATTTGTGAACAAATTGTGTAGATAACCACCTCAATTAAATATTTGAACATAACGCACCTCAAAATCTCAAACATATTTTAGCTGTGAACGTTTTACCCCCTTGTTGTTTGCAAAGGTTGTGTGGAGCTTTGTTCAAAACTGTAAGCTCTTCTACTGTTTAGTTATTCAAGTAATTGAATGAATAGGCATCACAATTAAAAGTATTTTTGGTCATTTTCCATAATTAAAAAATATGTGGATCTTAAGCTGGCTAAATATAATTTAAGACTGTAAACTTTATTATATGATTTTCAGTCAGGAGTAGGTGCAGAATAGCTATATTAAGTGGTACCATTATGCAGATAGAGCTACCGTATATATGTAAAGCACTCAACTAAATTTCAATAACTAAAATAGACAAGTTGTACAGATACACTACAGTGGGATTCTGTAGTGCAAGACAGCAAAATTGGAATTGCAAAAAGCTTTTTAAGAAGCCAATCTGGAACAAATTGCCACTAAATATATGAAAATGAATTCAATTAATGCAAATCTGTCTTTGTAGAATCAAAGAGAGAGAAACACTAGACATGAATTGTGTTTTACTGGGTTGGAAAAGATAATCTACACAAATTCTAAGACAAAATAGATGTTTGATATAATGCATTCTTTTTTATTACAATTTGTTAATAACATAGTAATTTCCCTTTAATTATGGAGAAAAAATAAGATATGTTTGTCACATAAGATAGGCATTAATGATATTTTTTAAACATACTTCACATTCATTTTTGACCTAAGTCAGATTTGTAGGTTCAACAAAAAGATTGAATGATTGTTTAACTGATCTCTTCATCATAAACAAGAAATATATCAGTGTCAGAGGACATCTTGGAGGTTAGGAAATGAATGCAATGAAGGCGTAAATGTTTGCACAACAGGAGCTGGCAACCTTAAAAAGGATAATGAAGTTAAAGAGTGTTCTAGAATTTCAATAAACCCTGTTATGACCATAATGACTTGGGCAGGTGCTTGAAGGACATGGGTTGTCTGTATGTCAGATTTCGCTCTCTTCACCTTCTTTTTCTGTTCCTAATGTGTTGAACAGTTTTACCATTGCGACTCTGAAATGATGACAGCTTTACTGTTTTCTTCTTCATTGTCACAACTGTGCGCAGCACCCTCCCTTCTCTGGAGCTTTGTCTTCTGAGCAGTACATGACATGGCTGAGATAACCATGAAGTGACTCTTTACACTGACTGGGATACAAAGTACCAAAGCATAACATTATTAGTATTATTCGGATGACTTTTTTGCATTGACAAGGCCTGAAACCATAGTATTTAAAAATAGACCATGACCCATGTTGGATTAAATGGTTATTGAACATGGGTGAATGATGGATGATGGATGGAATACAAGTTAGCAATGATGACCATGTAAAGGTGATTGATATTGAATTGTTTTCCCTTAATTCCCTAAAATAAATGTTAAAAAATAGGTCTAGCCGCTGTTTACAAGATGAGATGTCTTTAGCATATATTTTTACTGACAGTAAAAAAAAAAATGTCAGATTTTTTTGTTATCTCTAAAGTGAAGGTCACACAATAAGTAATTCACAGTAAACTGCCCTGAATCAAGGTAAAATTACATCCAACACTCAAAAGAAAAAAAAAATATGTGGATTGAAAACACTTTTAAAACACTTATTTTATTTCATGTTTAATGAGCTATTCAGCCACAATAATCTGTCTTTTTGGCACTAAGGCTATAGATGAACTTGCATTCTTTCAAGGGCAGTGTGTAAGCTTTGCAGAGCCTGAATGTCTTTCACCAGCTGTGAAGTTCTGGCCGTGAATGCAAAATACTCTGAAAACATAGTGACAATGCAGCAGCAGGAGGGGAAGAGATCTGGACCTTGTTTCTTGTAAACTTTCATTTCTGTTTTAGAAAAAACATCCAGAGTCATTATGAATCAGTGTGAAAGAGTAAGTAGCATTTTCCTACATTATTGAGAAAAGTACTATATTGTACAGTACTTTAGAAAATCTCAAATTAATAATATCTGTAAAAACTAAAGGGACAAAGCTTTAAACCTGCTCTCATGTGACGTAGAGATCAGTAGAGCTTGCATTGACATATAATTGGTCGAACTAGACTGACACTCTTTTTTTAATAAAAGTTATTAAAGAAATAAATCACCAGATTTGATTGCTTGCAGTCAAACATTTTGATAGAAGGCCATAAAAAGTGAATGATCTCATAAACAATACTGTGTTCTGTCACATGGTAAATAAATAGACGTTTAGCATCTCTTTCGAAGAACGTCCAATTAACACAAATGTGATTCATGTTTGTGCAAAGAGTGAACTGTAAGGAAGGCAGAAAGAAGTAATCCAGCCTTTCTGAAAAGGACAGCTGAAATGGAATTAATTAGTATTGCATATTGCATCTAACTAAGCATTCAAGCACTATGCGTTTGTAAGTACATACACACAGCACAGAATGCAATACTTGGGCTATAATTATATTCAGCTTTTGCTGGGAATTATGACTTTGAAAAAAAAGAAAATCATGAAAATTATATAATGTGCCATTTATTGGGTGACTGATCCTGTTAATATACAGTTTAATCCATGGAAAATTGTGTGTCATAAAAGAATATACATAAAGTCACTTTTGGATTTCAATAAGATTCTAATCCTAATAACTGAAATCATCCCCAAAACATTTGCCTTTTTTATTATCCAAAACACAGACACTTTAAATAAAGGAAATGTGTTTGTGCATGTGCATTACCATTTATCTATGCTCTGAGGCTCAATGCCACATTAACTGCCTGTACATCATACTAACCTGATTCAGTGCATGTTGTTGTGGAAACGGGCTGCAGTAAGTTAGTTACTATTGCTCTCTGCAGCCACTCCTTATGGCAAATGTGCTACTTTTATCATATCTTTAGATATTGCAAAGCTGAACCTTCTTTTCATGAGTAGTTCAAGACCTTGCAGTGCTCGGCATGCTACAAGAGAGGCCATTACAGAGGTGATGCCCTGAGATCTTGAAGGGGGTGTTTGAACAAAGGTTCTTAAATAGCTTGTTTTTTTTTCAGGAAATCAAAAAATATATATACAATATTATTCAATACAATGTTCTTCTGTAATCAATAGTTTACTCAAAACCTCAGTCAGCGTTTTCAAACATTCTAACAATTTTGAACACTATTAATATGGCTAAGGTTGGGTGCGAAGAAACTTAGCAATTGTTAACGTGGTTCACTTTTCACGTTGATTTGAATCTTCAAAAACTTGATCACAGCTCAGGCTAAGCCTTACATGAGCACCCAATATAACGTCCAGTTGTAGCCAGTCCAATTACATTTACCAATAAAATCTAACTGACTTGTTGCAAGGGGTTCCTCATCATTAAGACTATTTAAAACTCTTAACACTTTACACACAAAATTACTGTTTTTTTACATGTGTATAACAGGACTAACCTGGATAAAAAATAAACCTGTAGCAGAAGAATTGTGTTTTTACATAAAGAAGGAAAAATGGAAAGCAGCCGAGCAATGCAAAACACCTGACTCATGCATAGCAGTGTATGCAGTATACATTAGTTCTTATTTATATTCAAAACAATTACAGTACAGTAGCCAACGAGTACTTGTAATATACAGTAACAGCTGTGGAATTAAAAAAAAAAAACGATATTTCCTCAGCAAAAACAATGCATGCAACTTGAAGATGTATCCACATTAAAACGAAAGCGTTGGAGATGAATAAAAAAAAAATAATGCGGCTAATATGCTACACCTCTTTCCCGAATAAACCCAACTGACCGTGCGGTCACTCAGTTGCCTAGGCGCTAGGGACATTTGACGTTTGAGTCCCCGCACGTGATTGGTCATAGGTCGAGGCGCGTTCACGCACTGAGCTGTGGGTGCCGCGCACCACCGCTCTTCAGCATCGTTCTGAGGGGAAGGGAGAGAGAGTGGGTCTGCATCTGGCGCACGATTCTCATCGTTTCCAATGAATTATTATCACATTCCTACGCCTGCCAGCTGACAAACTGCACAGCGAGTTGTCGAAGGAAAAGGGGATTTTTATTTGCGGTCTGTGCTTGCCCGAGGTAAATCAGAACCGTGCCGCCGTCGGTATTGACTTTGCCTTCATTCTGTGGAGAATGCAATGGATTGGTAGGGCGCTGCGGAGCTCTCAGTAGCTGTCTCTGGTCCTGAAATTGCATTCGTGCATCGCTGTGTCCACGGCACACTGCCATTTGTTGTAGAAAAATTATTGCAGTGTACTGTTTAGAGAGGAGGTGGTCGGTATACGGTAGCGTGTATTAATATGCGAAACGGCAAAAGACATCTCGAAGCCACTCGCCCGACGCTCGCGTATTTGCAAGCAAATTGGGAAATGACCGGTCTTCAGCTGCATCCACTATTTATGCTTTGAACATTTTACTGTACACTGATGTTAAAGAATGCTTTGAAATGGCCGAAAGTATTTTTTTTTTAATCGTGCTGCTCTGCTGATCTTCTAAAATGTCACCTTCCAGGATAAAGTCACACGTATGATCACGCATTCACTTGTGGTGCATGAATTTGAAATAAGCCTTAGATGCTATGTCGAGATGTTAGGATATTTGCAAACGCAATTAAATATCTTAAGTGTGTGAGATGTGTCATTTTCCAGTTTCTGTTGTGTAAGTGTAAAAGAGGCATTTCGCTGATGAAACTGGTAAAACAGGTTTAATTTGTGGAAATCTGTTCTGTAGCGGTCGTGAAGCCCGGTCTCGTATAGTCGAGTGTTGCTGCTGTTGAATTTGGATACTTGCCGTCCGCACTGGTATCTACAGTAGGTGCCTTACGATCTCCTAGCGAGGCGGTAAACGTCAGTCTCAAGCGGGTGGATCTTACCCTTTACTTCTAACAATATCAGAAGTGGCGGAGTTACCCCCATTGAACTGCTGCTCTCGCATGAATTGCACAGGCACTTGCCAGCGGGTAACAAGCGGTCTTTTCTACATTTGTACGTGGTTCCAGCTGCAATCGTCAAAATACTGGCTGCTGATCGGACTGGGTCATGGCGCAGGCAAATAACTACGGGCAAAGCAGCAACGGAGTAGCGGATGAATCTCCTAACATGCTCGTCTATAGAAAGGTAAGGCGCGCAGTGATCAGCGATACCCGATGTGCGGTGTTCCTGATTGAGTGATGTGATTACTCATAGACAGGGGGGAGAAAATGTGTGTTCTGGCCTAATTGTCTCTGCTGTTTCATAATACAAATAAATGTTTTCAAAACTGCCGAGATATAAATGTAGTGTGCTTACCAGCGTCTTGAACTTTCAGTCAGCCAAATGTTGTATAAAGAATGTAATGCAATGCGAGAGAATTGCAGACCACTCCTACCTTTTATTTGGATGTTAATGTTTATTTTCAAACGATTCCATTGTTTTCGGCGAAACACAATAGAGGAGAAGTCGTTTTATGTCATAATAAAACAATATGGAATATGCATCATACATATATTGATTATTATTATATGATTGCATAAAAATAGTAGGTTATGCCTTTAGATTTCAGGATAACTTTCTACCAACAAAGTAATTGTAGACTCTGGATACCAAAATCAGACAAAGATGTGTTTACCTTTGGAATGCTTATTAAATTAATGTTTGATTTGACTTCACGCTGTATCTGACCAGTTTTGCAATATGTGTATAGAGGAATGCTGTTTTATTGTTAAGGGTTTTCTGTTCCATTTATGTTTATTTACAAATCATGGCTATGATCATTTCAATTATATGATCGTCCTTCTAATTCCAGCACTGGCTGAAAGTTACATCTTGTTATTATAGGAAGGAAAGGGATGTACCAGGATCCCCAGCCTAAGAAAATTATCCGTGGAGTGCCCCTAGCTCTATAAAATAAGGGACCAAGGAACAATATTACTTGAAGCTGTTTGACCCCTCCTGCCTTCATAGGCTTATTAAGAAAAATGTCTTAGCTTTGAGTTAACCCCTTTCTCTCTATTTCCCTTATAACCCTGCCCCCAAACACTACAGTTCAAGGGTTTGCTCTGCATTCCAGATTTCATTCCAGGTGGAATTGCTCTTGTTATATCCACCTGAAAAAGGAGGAACGGTGTGCGAAGAGGAAGAATAGTTTGCATTTGCTACTTGGAAAAAAAACCCCAGTAGATTTACTGTAGCTGTGTGCGTGTTATGTACAGTAACCGTATCAGCTCTTGGTAGAGCTCAGGGTAGGTACTGTAGATTGTAATTAATATCGATGTCTGCACTTAGGAATGTGCGTTGTAGGTTCCTAATGGAACCGCAGAGGAAACAAGATCTGTGTGCTTGTGTAGTGTGGGGTGCAGTTCTGTTAAATGCATGGATTCTTCTTTCTGAACAATAAAGGTGTGTAATACACTATTGTAAGTGCCTAACAGCAATAACAAATCGGTATACATGCAATGCAGTTTTCCATTCATTTTAATTAACATTTTTAGGTTTTCAGTTCCTCCCATTAATTGAACACTGAATTGTGTGCACCTCCTTTACACTTTTCGAATTAGTTTAGTCATGTGGAATTTGGGGCAGGGTGGTGAGATGGTGGTTAGCTCTGTTGCATCACATCCTTGAGGTCAGGGAACAGTCACTGCCTGGTGCAGCCTGTGTGGGATTTGCCTGTTCATCACATATCCATGGGGGTTTTAGTGCGCTCTCCAGTTGCCTTCGGCCTTCCAGAGGAGTGCTGGCCGGGCTGAGGTGGCTGGGAAACAAAGAAAAAAAGTTAGATTTTTTTTTTTACTAGATATCATTTTGAAATGACAAGGCTCGGGTTTCGAAAACATTACTTTTGAAAGACGCCATTTCCTGTCAGGCTTCTGGAATTGAGGTTGGCTGCTGTCCGCGTGAGCCGGTGTTGCACAGCTGCCGGCCATGTGCCCTGACCTGTGCTGTTTCAACGATTTTGTATTGAATTTCTCTTTGGCTCTTCATTTGAAGAGTAACAGGAATATTGGAGAGGCGTACTGTATAATCCCACAGCTAAAAACAGAAAAGTTATTTTAAATGATTGATATGTCCAACATCTATTTACAGTAGGTGCCATGTCTTGTGTACTTTTCAGATACAAAAAAAATGAATAAAACATTCTAACACTAACCTCATTGAAGGTCTACAAATTGCACTTGATCCTACATTAATCAGTAAATTATTATATGTTCCTTGTACTACAGAAGGAAAGCAGTCCAGGGTTTGCACAGTAGACTAAGGATTTTTTTCAAAGCATTTTAGTGTATATAAAATAAAACAATAGGTAATATTCCTGTATATACAGCATATATTCCCTCTTCAGATATCGTTGTATGGTATGGAATCCTAAAAAATTACATTCATTGAGGTAGTAACTAGTGGTTATCTGTAACTGTGATGAGGCCAATATTCACACTAAGTGATGTACAGTATATAGAGTTGTGTGTTGTGGGTTGCTTAAATCTGTTTACTTACAGCTTCAATCTGTTATTAAAGATTACAATGCAATTTGATTTTGACTACATCTGGATTAGCTTGCAACATTTACAGTTATCCAATTTCCAGACACATATATCCTAATATGTTACTGTCTGCAGTCCAAAAGTATACAGAGAATACTTGCGGAACGAACAAATTACATCAGGTCGTTTTTTTTGTATGCTGTGTAAAGAGAACTTTAGCAGATCAAGTGGCTTTTGCTTTCTTATTTAAGAATTCTGAATTACATAGCCTCTACAGAGGAAAGGATTTATTCCACTTTTTTCTTGCTGATAGTGCTCTTGGCCTGAGTAATTATAGCACTTCCAGCATTCACATGTGCTCTTTTTCATATGGTATAATAAATAATTGTTTTCTTCAAGCTTAACAGTCACTTCCTTGTAACATAAACTTTTACAACTGGCAAGTTGCAAGTCCATCACATTTTGAAGAACATGGGTAATTTCCTTGAGCAATGCTGTCAAAGACTTGTTTGCACTGACTGCAATATCTATCAGATTAATAAATAAAAAAAGTGACTTCCTTTCTTGAAACATCTGCAGTAGCAACAAAGATGTTTATGAGTAAAGGTCTGAATTATCTGACTGAATGTCTTTTTAACAAATCTAAATATAGATTTTTGTGTTTTAGCTCTACCTTTATTGTTTAGAGCTGTTTTTAATACTTCAGAGAATATAAAAATAGTTCACTTCATAGTAAATTGGTTTCTTCTGTTCCATTAGTAATTTCATTTAGGATGGTTATTAAATTTACAGATCTACAGATTTACAGATTTTTTTGTATGTTGTGGCTTGTTGCCGAAGAAGTGGAATTCACCAGTAATGTGATATTCAAGGTTTTTTTTTTTAACAGTCCACTTTAAACCAGACAGAAGCCACTGAAATTTGCTAATGAGAAAGGTTGAGAGTAGGTATGTCACAGAAATGCAATTAAAGCCAATAATTAGAGATTGATGTAACTTGACACAATACAGTACAGTATATATATATACTAATTCTAGTGAAGACAGGTACTGTAAATATAGGCCTGGTACAGTATATACTGTATATACACTGTGTTTTTATCCCATACAATAAGCAGAAACCATTAAAACAAATGTATATTATAAAGAAAAAACAGACCAAAAATTAAAAGGAATTAATTAAAAATATTAATTTAACATTCATAGCACATCCATTCAAGCTACTGTTTTCTTAATTGTAATGCAAGTGCGTCCTTTATACTTAGTGTTGTTTTTTTAGACTGACTTTGGTGGCAGGATTGTGATAAAGCAGTATTGTTTTCACTTATATAGAAGAAAGAACAAAGACTCAAAACGTCTTTCTTCTTCTCCTGATAAAAGCAGTCTGTTGATATTGTAATATTCTGTTTGCCTTTTTATTGCTTCCCCTATCGTCTAGAAGAAGTAAAGGATTTGCTAACATACACTACAGTAAACACCTGAGTCTTTTTCATAAGCACAGTAGCTGCTTGAAGTTCAGTACCTTTGTTATATTTATAGGTTAATGACAGATGCCATCTGCCAGGTGTTAATCTAGTCCTGAATGATGTCTAAATATTTTGAATTTTATTGTTTTACTGTGTAATCCTCCTATTTCAGTATAATCTTTAATCTCTGATTTACTAGAATTCAAATAATTGATATAAATTTAGAAGAACAGTCGCCATTGTACAGGCACCTGTTCTGCTCCACTAACTGCGTCATTCAAGTTGGAGCATTCACTTCTTATCTGTACTCTCTGTTTCCTATCCAGTCTGTTCTCCTATCCAACAGACAGCTCTCAACTAGAAACATGCTAGGCTAAGTAGCCCTGAATCCTGTGGTTGCAGGGGCCAATTAGACATCTGTGTAAACTGTACATATTTTAATATACAGTGTATGTACAGGTACTATATACAAAATAAATCACTCGACACTAGTATGTGGCTCCATTAGACACCTTAGCTGTTGACCTAGGCCCTGTGACAGAACAACTTGCCATGGTGTCACATGAATTCAATACCATGTATTAGGCACTCAAGACAGCGGCACAGAAAGAGCAGGATTCTGTAAGTGTTTTACAAAATTCGCTTTATTTTCTCAGATACTGATGTTACCATTCGTTTTAGAAAAAAAGTCAGATCACCTTTGCCTGTCAATGGCACCATCATGGAAGGAAATTGAATGCAGTTTCTTAAACTGTAATTAGAAAGTGAAAATATCATTTGTGTTTCTGTTGTCTGCGAATGAATAGTTTTCTTGAACTCAGTAGTTTAACAATTTAGGAATTATGAATGTGCTGCCAAGGAGCAAGAGTTATAGCAGTTGCAGTAGCTTCTATAAAAATACTGCCAACCAGGAAAATGAAAAAGGTTTGTTTGCTTTTCATATTTGTGTAAGGGTGAGGAAAGATTACAGACTGCTAATGCCTGCACATTTATTTTATATTCATTTTACTTTCCTGTTGTGACTTTTAAAACACACCTGCTTACACCTCATTTGTTAATTTCCTCCCCTCAATTATTACCAAAAAATAGGTTTTTAACAAAACTGATAACAACAGTTGACAAAATGCTCAACCCCCTTAAATAACTCATCACTTATTCGAATTGTTCTTTATCATTTGAAATGTGAGTTGTGT